TTTAAAAAAAGAAAAATAGAACAAAAAAGTATACATATATATAGTTATTGTATTTTTAAACCACACCCCCTCCAGCCTAATTTTGGCCAAAATGTAGACCTGGTTACAATTCCCAGCTATTCTCATCATTATCTTTATATAATTATACATCCTTACGTGCCCCCAATTTGTGATTCTCTCTTTAAATCTCAATAGTTTCCCATTGTAGGTATATTTCATGCTCCCTCTCCATTTTTTCCATATCTTAGATTAGATTACCCTTAATTGTCTATAAATGGCAATCCTCCCTGTTCAATGTTCATTACAATTCCCTTAATCTATTATATAGAATAACAAGCAGTAAACATCTCACTTTATTCGTCATCTTAAATGTCTGAGGGCACGCGAGGCATTGGCCTGTCAGCTCCGTGCATGCGCTGGCCCCGCATGCATATGTGTCCCCCACCCATGCCCCACCCCGCACATGCCCCCCCCGTGCATGCGCAGCAGAGACCTGATGGCTAGCTGGCCAGCAGGAGGCACATGCAGGAAGCTGAACTGGGGCAACGGCTCGCGTGCCCACAGAGAGGCTGTTGCCATGGGTTTGCCATCATGAGTGTAGAGTCTCCTGCTTGAGCGGGAGGGGGGTTGGTCTAGATGACCTCCAAGGTCCCTTCCAACTCTGTGAATCTAATAATAATCCAAAGCTGTTCTCCATCTATAAATAATAGCTGATGATCACACCTGAGTTTCTCGGGTGTTTTTCCCCCACATCTGCCTTTTCATCCCAAGTTCTCCATTTTTTTCTGACGAAGACGGATTGCGGATTTGAGTCAGTTCTCAAAATAGCAAAACAAAGGAAATCTCAGCCAACAGAGTCCATGAAAATGTCGCCGCTTAATTGGCACCAACAGGATGGGGTATCTGTATTTGCAGCAGAGACAGGGCAGTGTTTTAGCTGCCAGTCACGTAACCGTTAAATGACGAGGATCATCATCCAGAAAAAAGATGAGACAAACCTCTAGAGACATCACATAGAAGATTTTTTTTAAAAAACCCTTAAAACCTTCTTACTTGGTTGGATACGTCAATCCATTTAGCTTTCTCTTCTCTTTAACTTTTCTTTCTGCCCTGCTTTCAAAGAAATCGGTACATCGGAATGCATTTTTATTTTTAGGGCGAAAAGCCCTGCAGTCTTCTTTCTTACCCACCTGTCATTTGTTAAACGACTGTAAGATAGGCTTTCTAATTACTTGGAGCTTGGTAGTAATACACCAAGAGCAATAAAAAAAGAGATAGCAGTTAGTCAATCAACAGCTGCAACGTTCTTCTTCAAAATTAGATGCTCTAAATAATATTCTATGTGTCCAATGATCAGTTTAGAGCTGAATCTGGAAACAGCTGCTCACTTATTTGTCACAGAGCTGTCAGAATCCAAAATATTTTGTTACTCCGCTGTTATAATGCCTTAGTAAGACCAGACTTGGAATATTGCCATAATACAAAAAAGATGTGGAGACTCTGGAAAGAGTGCAGAGAAGAGCAACAAAGAGGATTAGGGGACTGGAGACTAAAACATATGAACGGTTGCAGGAACTGGGTATGTCTAGTTTAAGAGAAAGAAGGACTAGGGGAGACATGATAGCAGTCTTCCAATATCTCAGGAGTTGCCACAAAGAAGAGGGAGTCAAACTATTCTCCAAAGCACCTTCTCAGGCAGGACAAGAAGCAATGGGTGGAAACTAATCAAGGAGAGAAGCAACTTAGAACGGAGGGGAAATTTCCTGACAGTGAGAACACTGGAAGTCTATAAGAAGATGTTGGAT